GTATGTAATATCCCTAAAATTGCGGTTCTCAATGAGATATTCAATCGAATGACCGTTCAAAAAAATCTGCAGAAATGAACATTCATTGTAGACTTTCGCATTGGAATGCCTTCGAGACATGATTTGCTGCAAGCGAATTCCATTACGTGGAATCTCAGCCAAAAAAGTGATGTAATTGCGATCTATCGATGAGCTGCATGGCTCAACATCAATGGCTCTTTGGCTTAAACGATTTGGATAAACTCGTTGACCTGATCCAAGTAAACGAGTGAAATTTAGTGAGCGAACATGTGCCCATCCGTTATTTTGGAGATACGTTGTTTCAGGGTTCGGTTGTGCATTCTGTGTGATCTGCATGACAATTCCGCGTTTTCCTGCATCAACAAGCGCTTCGTACACCTTAACGCCCTGAAATTTGACGAATTATCGGTTTCACTCGACTGCGATTTTGAATTTTGACTACTTTTGTGCTAATTTAATTGGACATCACGACAGTTTACGTGTTGATTATTGGTCACTGCGAAATGTCCATTCGACGCAGGACAACAATTTTATGCAAGATTCTGTGAGCTGACCGGTAAGTTCCATCGTGAATCTTTGTTGAATGCAAGCATGTGATCTAAACAAGGAAGCTGTATGTTTCATGATAAGCATTCTTTCACCGCATTCAAATCGGTAACTTCCCAACGAACTCATTCAACATCTCAGAAGATTATTTCAGAGTCAAGGCGCATTGATCACTAACGTCTTCAGCTGTGCTGTCGGCATAACCCTGTGTATCGTTGGGTAGCAGAGACCAATAATATGAAGCGATTCGAATTTCCCTTGTTGCATTTGCAATCAATTGCAACCAAGCATCAGTGGTTGTCATGAACTTTGTGCTCGCATTATAAGTCAAATTGACCGGTATTGATTCCACCAAATGAAACCTGAAATGGTTTCACAGCCTATCAGCAAAACTCTTTTTTGATTAATTTTTGCTTATTTACGATAGTGAATTGAAATACTGATAGGCGCATTTTGTAATATTTTCAGTCACTTGTTTACACTCAGTAACAATTGCTATCGATGGTGTAATAGAATGAAAAAAACTGCATTCATTGATAACCAATCGCATATTCAATGATACACTATCTCTACACGATGATGAGGAACACACCCTTTTTTTTATTCGTCCACATTGTTGCAAGCAAAAAGCCTAGAGTATATCTGCGAATTCAACAATCAAACACATCAAGCTTCTGCATAATTTGACTGATTATAAGTGGTTTCCAGTATCTACTGAATGAGTGAGACTCGTCAATTTTTATTATTTTAAATTCTGCTTTCAAAATGCAGATTCAGTGGCACTGGTCAGAGTAGACGTGATAAGGATAAGAAAAAATTCAAATACATGCTACAAATATCTGCCCTTTCTCGTGGAAAACTCCCAAGCACTCGATGGTGAAACTCACTCGCAAGCTTCATGACATATTACTTGAAAATGAGTCGTTGTCAGTACGTCTGGTTCGGGTGTTACAGGTGAATAAGCTCGATTCGTTTGACTTCTATCTTTTATTCCAATATAATAAGCCTGAAAATCGATTTTCAAAAGAACGTCCAATTTGAAGCTATTCCCGTACGTAGCTTCTTTATCAGTCGAAGCACTTGTCCGAGAATTTGAAATTGTATAATTGAGAGCATTTTGATATAGAAGGAATGTTGACCATTTTATAATGGCTTAATGAAATCAAAGTTTCATGATGCAAACAGTGTCAAAGCGGACAATCACTTACTGATGGCTTGAAATAAAATGTGAATAGAAAATAGTTCACCTCTCTTCGACCACAACAATCTAATGAGAATGTGATTAGGAAAGCAGCAAAAATGATGGTGCTCAAATTCGTCATTTCAAGGATTTTATGAGGAGATGGCTACGAAATAGTGGCACCACTGGAATCTCTAGTTGCTGGAGCATTTTTACTTTGATCGGTAACAGCGAATGTGAATATATCGCTATGAGTGAACAAATTTTTCTCAAGCTGACCCATCTAAATTCTTTGATTTGTTACCAACAATCGCAGTAGGTACAGATCGAATGGCAATGCTGACTCTGATTAAATGGCAGATGAGACCTTTGGAACCTTGTCATGTGTTTCAAATAACTGGTCGAGTTTCCAAAGAATTTGGTTTCATGATCACTCGAAAGCTTCAATAGCAATGTTGAAGCAATGAAACAATTCGGGTATGCATTAACATCGTGTCAACCAATAGTTATACCTTCATCAGTGTTTCATACATGCATTATTTTATTCATTATAAACTCAAACTCTTATCCAGTATGCAGAGAAACGTATGAAGTAGAAATTGTTCATGCTTGCGAGTCCTGTTTATTGATTCATTGAGCCTGAATGAGTGAGGCTCGTCAATTTTTATTATTTTAAAATCTGCTTTCAAAATGCAGATTCAGTGGCACTGGTCAGAGTGAATGTGATAAGGATAAGAAAAAATTTAAATGCATGCTACAAATATCTGCACTTTCTTGTGGAAAACTCAGCATGCAGTTTATACTCAGAAAACACTCGTGAAAATCATGAGTGTGACCAAAGCAGATCAAGAGAACTGCAAAACTGACACCAATCCAAATCGCTGAAGTGCATGCCATTGCGACAAGACACGTTATTGCCGGTGCCAAAATATGCGCTTTCAACTGAACCATTTTTGAGCGTTCCTTAAAACTTTTGACAATTTCATTCGTAAAAAACATGCAATTCACGAATAATCATGAATGCAATCAGCAATAATTACAATAACAATCATTGTGCAGTAGAGTATAGCAATCAACACAGTGAAATTCGAGCGACGAAGTTCCATTTTNTCAACCAATAGTTATACCTTCATCAGTGTTTCATACATGCATTATTTTATTCATTATAAACTCAAACTCTTATCCAGTATGCAGAGAAACGTATGAAGTA